TAATGGCGGTGCACTCTGCAAACCAAAAAAAAAAAACTATTAATCATTGCAGCAACAAAGGAGCTTAAACAAACAATTGAATCATAATGTGTGTAGTACCATGCAGCGTATAAGAGGCCAGTTGATGCCCCTGAAGAAAGGATGTTCTTTAATCTCGTTGGCGCCGGTACGCGACCCCAGTCGCCCACCAGGCTCTCGGTTCAACAATGCATTAATCAGCTGCCTTGCTGCAAGACTAACCTGCATTCACCAAAGCATTTTTCACCGGTGCAGCTCCAAGAAGTAAACCAGTACATGACACTCGGTATTAAATCGTACCGGAATGCTACTCGGGAAGGTGAGGTCCTTGTGCAAGATGTTAGAGAACGTCTTCTGCCGGTTTTTGCCTCGAAACGGTGTACGTCCGTAGAGCATCTCATACAGCAAAATGCCTGAATTCCAAACATAATTCCATTGATGTTATGTTCATAACACAATGTTATTAACATGTACATGAGAACTACTTACCGAGTGCCCACCAATCAATTGCACTACTGTGTCCTGCACCTGTAATGATTTCCTGAAACCAAGTAAAATATAACCATGTTCAGTAAAAATTAAGGATTGTAGAGCCGCTTCGACTCTCACGTTTTTTTTCCTTGAAGTATTCGTATCCGATTCATATTCTGGTCTGGAACTTAAAACAAGAGGAGTGAGTGTATACTGGCGCAATATATTCTTCGGTTCCAACAAATGAATTGGACTGTGTAGATGGCTCTGCAACAAATGTTGGATGAGGTTGTTTCCTGGATCTCCTTTTCTTGTTAGGCAAGGCATGCTTTAAAACCTGGAAATTTCATCAAATTTAATCTCATGCATAACTATATCATATTTTATCAAAATGGTACATATGATGCAAGATTGACATAAAAAACATACTTGGGGTTTACAGGGAGTCACAAATGATAAATCAAAGTCTGTTAATACAACATGCCCATCTTTTTGGAGTAGAATATTTTCCGGCTTCAGATCTCGATATACTATTCCTATCACAAACCATTAACAATGGCAGCTTGATCAGCATTATATTAGATTGCAGTAGCCTAGATCTTGCAAAAAGGCGTTATTCGATTCGATTTTATTTGTCATCGGAATCCAAAGTTTATCAACATACCTAGACAATGAAGATATTCCAAACCAGTGACAACCTCTGCTGCATAAAACCTGGAAAAAGCAACATAAACACCCTAGTAAGAATGGAACAAGATTAAATCTGTTTTGCCAAAAAAAAAGTAGGAACATTGAGAAGTTATAATTATGCAATAAATAGGTGTACCTTGCAGAATCTTCTTTGAAAAATTTCATAGGTTGCTTATCGAGCAAGTTAAATAGCTCACCACCAGGGCAAAAGTCTGTTATCAAACAAACGTGTGTGGGAGTCTGAGGAGATGAAGAAATCATTAGCATATGTCAATTACAACTTAAGGATCCATAAAACTTGCAAATTATAGGATGAACTAAGAATTTGACAGCAAAAACCTGAAAAGATGCGTATAATGAGGGAAGGAAAGGGTGATCCAGGAGTGAGCTGATTTCCCTTTCGACGCATGCTCGATGAACCTGTACAATTAATTCGATGAGTCAGTTCAATGATCAAATACTGTTTGTTTTAGTCAAACAATTTCGATCGTCAATGCCAAATGCTTACACTCATATACATATAATCCACAATTAACCCAGATTCGAGACGAATGCTGATATATAGAAGAAATTAAACAATAAGCAAACCTTGTTACGGTTCAACATCATAGACTTCTCCATTGCCTTCATAGCAAATAATTCTCCGCTACCTTTCAGTTCCACCAGATGAACACTGCAACCCAATAACTTAGATTAGACACAGAAATGAAGTAAGAATTCATGCCATATATAATGACTTGAGGTAAAAGCAAACAGTGACATGAAAGAGGTACCTGCCAGTGTCACCACATCCCAAGGGTTTTATGGGTTTAAAATGATGCAGCCCCATTTTTTCACCACGAGAAGTGATCTGTATTACATATAAATATCAAAGACTGCATCCAAGAAGAAATAATGACTTGAGAAAACGGAAAAGGTTACCTTTTGAATTGCTAGCCAAGAAGGACAATCTCTTTTATGAGGCCTTGGGAAGACTGGTTGAGAGTGGAGCGCCCACAAATCTTCCGGGCTCTAAATATTTTACCAGTATGCATATAAAGTCTCATCAATTATAATCATATCAGACAGCTCCTAGTTAAAAGTTATCGAATACCATGTTCGATGCAACTTGAAAGAATATTGACAGTGTAAACATTGAGATATAGAGTTCCCAACGCAATTGGAAGAACATATTTGTTTATATTTTCATCGATGACTGAGACAAAGCTATTAATATTTCGAAGAGAAAGAAAGAATACCTTACCAAATTGGCATCAGGAAGTTCGCGAACTGCTTCATCAACATTTTCTGCAGTGGCTTTGACCTGATTAACGAAATGATATCCCAGTTGAGCATCAAGTATGTTTGACATGATTATGCTCACTCTTTCAACACTCTACTTTAAGAAAAAGGAAGAGTCTACAAAACGGGCATTTACGATATGTATATATTTAGAAGAAGAAAATGATTACAGACCAACTTAGCACTTTGTTGCTCTGTCTGCTTTGAGAGGCGTTTTGTAGGGGCTCAACATGATCACTTCCATCAAGTTGGACGCCTATGAAATATTGAAGCTCACTCTGTAAATCACCAGGAACTTGTCACAAGAGTTTCTGAGGAGACAAACTAAACACCGACACTAAAAAAATAACACGAACAAGTCAAAATCATGACAGTGGCATGTAAAAGAAAACATGAAATAAATACATGGATTGTTGGATGTAGCAGGAACCACCTTCTGGTCACGCATAGGTTGCAAGTGAAATAAATTCCAGAATTTCTTACCTGCAAGTCATACAAATTGTAACAGGTCACTCAAAGGATGTTTCCTTCAGTATGCATACATACATACAAACATATATATATATATATATATATTACAAACCACTCTTGGTGTAGTTGATTAACTGGACAGTGATTTCCCTTTGTTCTCTAATAGCATCTCTTATCTTTGAGACAGTCGCTTGATCAGTTTCAGGTCCTTGAAGAAATCTGTTAAAAAAATGCCATGTTATTGGTTCGATATGATTGGAAACCAACTTATAATCGGCAGTTGATTGAAGTAGCTCAATATCAAAATTAACGTTGTATAATTACATACCTGCAGTTCCTTCCCAAGATTTCCTCTCGTGTATATTCAGTCAATTCAAGAAAGCTATCAGATGCAAATATCTGCAACATTGTAGTGGTTTTTCAGATACAATATATGTACTTTATCTTGTGAATTGAAATCGAATCGGGTGAGGAAAATGATACTGAAAGGGTCTTACTTACAATGGGATTATCGGCGATTCGAGGATCTGTGATAACGAAATTCTTTTCGATACGTTCCAATGTTGTTGCTAGATCGAATCCTTGGCGTATGTCCGTCTCTCTTTCAGCGCGTTCCCAACTATCGGTTGGTTCAATGTCTTTGGTCATTAATTCCTCTGGTTCAACAATTGGTTCTTTTTCTTGCCTGGCTGCATAGCTAGAAGACCTGCCTTTTAACCTGGGGGAAGATATCATGCATCATATATACCTGTTTCAGATTCAAAATAGAAAGTAATGAATACATGAGAGAACTTAATCCAGAATAACTCACCCCATTAAAGAAATTCGTGCTGATTTTCGATCTTTCTTGTTAATATCCTGCATAGGAGTAGAAGCACAGAAGTCGGACCTAGGAGTATATCTCCCAGGGGTACTACTGTTTTCAATTTCAGCAGATTTAGGCAGAACATAGTCAATGTTGAAATTTTCCTGCTCTTCAAGCTTGTTAGTTGCATTATTACATGTTGTTCGAATGTGAGATTGAGGGCGTTTTACAGTTTGGACAACCTCTGTGATGGAATCTAAAGCCTTATCCTTCTGACGAGCTGTTTCAAAATGTAGGATCATTACATATTAGACTGAAATCACATTATAGAACACCCCCAACAGCTAAAGCATAATTTACCATCGTAACGAATTAACGACTGAGGCAGTCCATTAGGCCTCAATGCCTTTTCAACGATACCTTCTGTGTATTTGCTGACCTCCACCTGCATTCTGCATAAAACAACATTCAATAACTATGCATGCATTTGGAATGAAAAAACAATGGTGTAATTCGAAATCCGATATCGATATGAAGAAAAGTAAGGAAAACTAACCCAATGAACTTGATGGTTTTCCCATTATCATCTTTTATGGGAGTCACAGTAAGAAGATTCCAGAAAGGAGTTCCATCTTTCTTGTAATTTAAGAGCCTGCCGCAATAGCTTTTTCCATTCTTAACTGCATCTCTGATCTTGGCAACCTCATTCTGGTCTGTGTCCTGTCCTTGTAGAAAGCGGCTAAACGAAAAATACGGGGACAATAAAGATTACATTGCATATCAGTTACGGTTTTACAATACTTGAAATGATCAGTAACAGCAAGTGTCAAAAAGATTATCTACAATCAATCATGTGTCATCGATTAGCATAGAAAATTGCAACAATTTTGTGCTGTAGAATGATGGCAGGTTGTGTCACATATCTAGCAGCAAGTACATACCAGTTTCTTCCTATGACCTCCTTTGCGGAATAACCGGTTGTGGTGAAGAATCCGCTGCTTGCATACATTATAGGGCAGTCAGGTTTGGTGGCATCCGATACCACGAAAGTTTGTTGCAGCGTTGCCAAAGCATCCTTCAGATCCTGTGACACCCTTGGAATTTGATCCAATCCATGACTTGATTCATCTGATGTCCTTACTGATCCCACTGAAAATTTATCTAAAGAGAACTTATTCTGATTGTCTTCTCCGCTCGGCTTCATCGTTTTGCCGATCACTTTGAAGTACCATCTCCAGAATCTGTCTGCAATGCAATACCCCATTCTGCAGTTCTTTCAGCTATGCTAGCTTCAGTTAAATTCTATGAGAGGAATTTTCGTTTGGATCTTTCCCTCCCCATTCAAGTTTTTGATAGAATCAACAATGCTTATGGTATTGGACTTGTCGGCAGCCTCTCCTCCGAAAGCCATCCACTTGTTTGCAGGCTCTTTTCTTGCTTTAGGAACGGCATCCATTGATGATCCTTCCTGTTGCACTTGTGCCACTGCACTGGAACCCTCTACTGTATCACAAGATTGTCCAACATTTCGAGTACCCGATGATTCAAAAACCTCGGTTGATCTCTCTTGCTCCCGGCGGCTAGATTTAGCATTTACCGATGATGTCGAACTATTAAAACTTGATGCAGATGACCCCGGCTGTCCCCCAGCCATTGGTCCCTCTATTTCCTACGAACGTGTGAGGCTGCATATAAACCAAGTCAGAAAAGTGGCCCTTATGAGAAATAAACTTCATCATCATGTCACTCGAAATCAATTAAAATGTCTCTCAGAATTCAGAGCGTGTAAATGATCTCCTACATGATACTATACTAGGAAAAATGCAGAAAAGTTGCTAGTTTGATCCAACATAAAGCATTTGTACTTTAATACTTGGCAAAAAGTAACAATCAAAGCCCAGAACTATGAATGAAATTCTGGCAAAATAGATTTCTGAGCTAATAATAAGTCGAAAACAGTTTGCAGATAAAGTACACAGAAGGGGTAGTCAAGAAATGGGAAAAAGGACCTTTGCCGCAGAAACTTATATAGCAAGAAATCTCCAATGGTGCGTACTTTTTTTTTAATCAAAATCGAGTCCGAACTCAAACAACTCGAACAACAATGGTGTCAATGGCACTGCTCCTCCACGGGGAGAACGAAGCTTCCATGGTACTTTTTAACACTTTGAAGACTCCCTTTTTGCTACACATGCAATCTAACATGAACAAACATATCTTTTTAAGTTTCTGGTTCTGGTTTCCGCATGAAAAGATAAAATGAAAACAGAGTTAAAATCAGGATAATGCTCCATAAATATTAGACTTCCAAGTTCCAACCCCACAAATGGCCCCATACCTTTTAGTTTCCATCACGGCCTTAGATTCCTTGCGTAAGGATGGGAGGCATGATTTTATGCTATGGTCAAATAATTCATTTATTCATTAGCAGTCATTTTATCCGATCTTTTTACCCTTATTTATCCGTCTCGATAAAATAAATCAAATTCTTCGATTGGAATCTATGTTGTATAAAAGATTATCATTCGTGGAGTTGAGAAGTGAGACACTCATCAAACTTTGTGAGGCTACAATGACACCAAATGCTCAGCAATTTCTTGAAGCTAAAACATCGCTTTCACTTTACGATATTTGTTGAGGCAAAATAAAAGCATTGCATGAACACACATCAAGATCAAGGACCACAAAAATAGCCATGGTGATGGGGTAATGGTACGGTTTTGTTAGCAGCCACGTTCAATGCCCATCATCAACAAATTAATTAGGACCATTGGGGCAAAATTAGCCCAATAATACGCAATAATTACTTAGGTTTTCAGGACAATTCAAAAATTAATTAGCAATCCACAACATTTGTTACAGTGACTTGTTACCCCGATGCGACCACTATTTTTAAATTTGTGTCAATATGAACATTAAACTATTAAATGGTTTCAATACAACCACATACCGTTAATATTTAACAGAGGTATTAACGTGACAGTTAATAAAATTGGTATAATTAGAGTGCAAGTCCTTGTAAAGTTACGTATTCGCGGCGCTGGCACCCTGCTTTGTTTTCTTTCATTTTGGTCACTATTATATATGGTTTGTTTCACTGGATTTTCATTTAATGCAACTTGATCCTAGTTCTATTTTAATTTGTCTAATGCCTTAATTTGAGCATTAGGTTAAAATCTTTTATTATAGTACTGTATTAAATTATAGATTAAATCCCTAGATTTTAGAATTAATAGTTGAGCCAATTCTCACACTTTTATCAAGATAATACATATGTTATATAACTTGTTCAAGTTTAGGAAGAAAATAAAACTAAATAACTTAATTGCATTTGAACCAAAGATCAGTTAGTGTAATCACCAATTTTATCCCAACAAAAATTAATTACAGTCATACCCTGCTGCCACCAAACCACCAACCCTCCCATACTGTTGCACCATGCCTGAGCTCACCAACCGAACCACCATACTGCCAGCAGTAACCATCCCGAGCTCACCAGCCGCCTGCTGCTCCACGCCATCTCCATGCCTTGCCAGCAGCCTCCTTACTTCATTATCAACCACACAACCAAATCAACAATTTTATTTTTGATTTTATGCATGTAAAATGGGTTATAAGAACCCCAAAAGCATATAAGATAGGGGTTTCTTTTTCCCCCTTTTTTGGCTCTCTTTGGCCAATTCCTCTGGGAAAAAAGAAAGCATTGTAATAATTTTTCCCCATATTCGAATACAAGCATACAAGCTTCTTTCCTTCAATTTCTTTTTTCAACAGCTTGTTTTTTCCTTTTTTGTTTTTTCCTTCGAATAAGAACAGTAAGGATAGGAGGGAAATAGCTTACCTTGACGTCGACGGGTTTATCCTCGCCGGAGCCTTGTTCGGTGGGCGAGCATTGAGGGTCTTCGATTGAGTTTGGAAGGTGGGGGGGAGTTTTGCCATGGAGAAAGAAGAGAAAATGAAAGAAATGGGGAATGATATGTGGTTCATCGTGTTTCTAGAAGTGATAAGGGGGTTTTCATTTTAATTTTTTTGGGTAAATCACGCGTTAGTTCCCCATATTTTAGTGCATTTTACGCTTTTGTCACCCATGTTAGGGGTTAATTACTCTTTAGTCCCCGTACTTCTAGCGTGTATTTTCATTCATGTCACTAGTGTTGGGTCTAATTTCATCTAGGTCCGTTGCAGTTTAATACCTCTTTGCATTACAATCACTTAAATTAGAGAAAATATGCCCAGGCCCCCCTACGTTTGTCGTATTTTTGCATTTTGGTCATTGGACCTCCATTTTCTAATTTATTGCATATTTATCATTATACTTTATTTTATTCTAATTTAGTCAATTTTTATTTTTCCATTTATTCGAAATTGGTCATTGATTCTTGTTTTGTTTTAATTTAGTCACTTTATGTATTTTGTTTTATTATTTATTCATGAATTTTGTGTTGTATTTTTAATTTATGCATTTAAATCACTATTTATTTTGATTTAGCTATTGTTCCTTTATTTTATGCATTTTGGTCACTAATTATTTTTGATTTGGGCTACTATGTTTGGTTTTATTATGTTTTGGTCCCTTTTTTTTCAGCAATTTAATTTCAGTCCTTTAATTATAGCACCTTACATTCTGTTTATTTTATTTCGGTCCTTTTTTTTGTCTTGCTATACCATTTTATGTTGTTTTGATTTTAGGAACTTTAATTTCTTTATTTACATTTGAATACTTGTCATTTATTGCAATTTACTTACATCCCTTTAATATTTAAGCTTTACTATTTTCACATTTTAATTTTTGTTATGATCATATTAGTATCTATTTTTCTTTGTTTGTTTATTTGAATTTATATTTTAAAGCATGCACTTGTTAATTTAGTCAAATTTTATTTCCAGCATTGAATATCATTTAATTTTTATCTTCGCTTTAATTTCCATTTATTTGTTCCTAATTGGTATTTTTAATATTTTAGCTTTTTCCATGTAAATTTGTTTGTGTATATAGATCTAGACTATTCGAATATATTAAAATCCTCATAAGCATAACTCAACTGATTACATAATTGGATTAAGGGTAGTATTTATTTATTTTAAAATATTAAAAAGGGGCTATCTTAAAGTAGCTAGAGGTCTTATTCCGATGTTTTAAAATAAATAAATACCCTACTAGAAAAAACCCAAAAAATCGATTACGTTTAAAATTAATAAAGTTTGAAGGGAAAAAGAAATATTTTCTTATTTAAACTTATCGAGACAATTCACCTAATTTTATTAGGGATTAGGTCTCGATATTTTTAAATAATTGAACATCCCTTATCTTTTCTAATCATATATAATTTGGATAAATTGGCTTAATTTCTTTCTTTGGTCGAATAAAATTATTTTAATTTTGAATTCTTGGGAGAAATTATTATATTCAATTTATTTCAGTTGGAAAGAGAAATATTTGTACTAGGTTTTCCCCCGCCCGGGCGAAAAACAGTGTCGACGGCTTGGCAACTCCGCTGGGGACTTAGTGGATCAAGCCCTAAATTGATTATATATTATCTTTATAGCTGGAAATTGAGAATTCAATTTTGTTTAATTCACGATTCTTTGTATTTCTTTCAATTTTTTATTCTTTTATTATTTTTATTTGTTTTATCTTTATATATTAATGTTTGTATTTGATTGATTTTCAGATATTGAAATTTGGATTCGTTTTCTCGATTTAAGTGTGGTTGTTTGTCAAAGGTTTGAGAATTTCTCCTCACACACGACACTTGCATTGCATAACATAAGCTCTATACTCGAGCTATTTCCTCTTTAAGTGGGAGTCAAAAGTGACGTCTTCGTGAGAATTTATTCTGTGTTAGACCTAGCAAGTAGGTTTTAGGGTTCATATGCCCTATGTCTTTGTGAGGATTTATTCTCCGTGTAAGGCATAGGGAAATGTACCCTCTCAAATTAAACTCGATCTGCTTAAGCTTGTAATGAGCGAAGATTGATGGTTTGGCTCGCCTAAGGGGGCACTGACAAGGAAAATTTGAGTACCTTTACTCCTAAAACCAAAACTCTGTATATAATAAACTGTAGAAACCCACCCGATCTGAGACCATGCTGAAATTCTTTCTATAGGTACCTAAATAAGTGTACGCAAAGGGGAAATAAAATCCAACCTTCGTCTTTTAATTTAAGCTATATATTATTTTTGAATAAATGCATGTGAATTAGAACACATGCGATTAGGGTTTTAATTTCCTATATGTGTTTTATTTACTGTATTTTATGGTTCATTTACCAGTTTAATTTAATATTTTCATATTTCACTAACATACATTTCCTCTCTTTGATTATTATTTTTGCTAACATCTTTTACTTGTCATGTTTGTTTATTTTGTGCATAAACATATTGTTAATACCCGAGTTATTTATCAAAAGAGAAAATCGCCTCAGTGACCAAAAAAAAGTTATAATATACGATTTTAACCAACTTTTTTTGGATTTGCCAAAATGACCAACAAAATCGCAACGCGAAATAAAAATCGCAACGCGATCCCCAGAATCGCAAATCAGTTTCCAGAATCGCAAATCAGTTTCCAAAATCGCAACGCGATTCTTGAAAATCGCGATGCGATAGTACAAATTCGCATTGCGATTTTCCAAAATCGCAACGCGAATATGAAAATCGCAACGCGAACACATAAATCGCAACGCGTATCCGTAAATCGCAACGTGTATCCGTAAATCGCAACGCGTATGGGTAAATCGCAATGCGTATCCGTATATCGCAACGCGTATCCGTAAATCGCAACGATAATACATAAAATCGCAACGCGTATCCGTAAATCGCAACGCGATATTTAAAGCGCCATTATAATCGCTACGCGTATTTTATTTTCAAATTACAAAAAGAATATTAAGACAAAATCCCGTAATCGCAACTCATAACCTAAAACCTAAAATCACAACTCAGTCCCATCTCCATCTCTCACTCTCTACGGCGAAGAAATCCGTTCCCCATCTCCGAAGATTTCCGTCCCCATCTCCGGCGAAATCCCTCACAACCATTCACGGTCAGAAATCCCTCACAATATTCAGAAATGGAAAATCAACCTCCGAGGGTTAGTTTTTTTAATTATTTTTATTTTGAAATGTTTGCATTATTGTAGGTTTTTCATATTGAAACTGATGATAAGTTTACTGGTCATTTCAATAATAGATTAACCATTTCACTTAGATTTCATTTCGCGTTACGATTCTGTCGTTGCGATTTTCA